GGCGTTAACATGTTCTCATGCACAGTAGAAATGTAAATGGGATGTCCTGCTCATAAGTGTGCCTGAACTGCAACGGGGAACAGCTGCTTTTTCTTTCCTCTTCCTTACTATCGTCATTTCTCCTCTACTTCTTAATGTATGTTTGTCACTCTGTTGTGACCCGCTATTTCCGGGGTTCCTTGATAGTCGAAGCAGACTTTGTGCTTTTGAAGCTAGGGTGGTGAGCAGAGTAAGCATGATTCCCTGTATGGACTTCTCTGTTGACTTCCACCCTTGGCGCTCTTATGAACTTATGCAGTTGCTAGCGCCGAAAAAAAACCTGTACTAAAACTAAAAAGATATAGTTTTGTATGGTCGATAGACATAGAGGTAGTAGATTGCCTTAGCACTACCCCCCCCCCCCCTTTTTTTGCAGTTCTTGACTTCCTTAATATGCTCCAAAGGTGAGACTGGAAAGTGTAAGGCTGTGTCTTAGTATTTTACAGGTGTGATAGGAATCTTTATATTTTTATTTTTATTGTAAGGTTTATTTTGAATTTAACCCGGTCGACGGCCAAACGGCCTAGTCTTCTACTTCTACGATTTTCAACCACCATGGAATCGTGTACGTACGCAACATGCACTCGGGACCTGTTAGATGTGTGGTTCTTATCCGCGAAGACGAGGTGCTCGATCTTACTTTTTTACCTACGTTAAGATCAGGGGTTTAAGAAGGGGATTAAGTGAGTGAGTGGGGCAATTGTGCTAAATGATAGGTTTAAGTGCGTCCCTTATTTTAGGAAACTTGGCGAGATGTCTCTTCCGGTCGATCTAATCTTCCGCTGCGTCGGCTATTGTGTGAAAAGGACAAAAGTGTCGGCTCCGTGGGGTAAGTGTGCTATCTCGTCCACTGTGAAGTGCTTTGGCTGAGTTGGGACAAGAACCTGGTGGAGATGAGTTTCTATCTGCTTGAAGGGGTTTGAGTGTGTGTTTGCCTGTGTGTGTGTGAGATAGAGAGGGAGAGAGAGAGAGAGTGAGAGAGAGAGATACGAAGTGTTTGTGTGTGTGTGTGAAACAGTGTGTGTGTATGTGTGTGCGTGTGCGTGCGCGCTGATGCGTGTAGTCGTGACGGACTGACAGAAACTTTAAAGGGTGATTGCATGATTCTTTCAAACTGAGAACCAAGACGATTGGCCGAGACGCCTAGCTGACCCTGCGTTGCACATTATAATGTCATCAAACAACTCTGATAATTTTTTAATGTGTTTTTTTACAGCGCCCCATGTCTGGTAGTTGTTTTTGTTTTTGGGAGTTTTTTTCGGGTTTGTTGGTTTGATTTGTTGTTTGTTTTGTTTAGGGTTTGCTTGTTGTTGGGTTGTTTTGTTTTTGTTTGTTATGCTGGGGGGTGTCTTTTTTTTTCTTCCCTTGTTGTGATATGTCTTTGTCATGTTGTATTTTGTCTGCCCTGTGTGTCTGGCTTTTGGTGAATAACATTTTGTTGCTTTGTCACTTCAATGACTCGGAGAGGAGGACATTTTTTCGAATCCTGAGCGAAGAAAATTGAACTTTGATTGTTCGAAGAGGTTTCATGGCTCTCCCTTCACCTGCAAAGTTCGTTCATGTAGGAGCTGTTTTAAAAATCGAAGGGCTAGTTGCTCAAACGATCTTACCAAACCACACTTGTTCTGGTATATCAAAACGTGCCCTTTATTCGTTTGTGCGCGCCCTTGTACATAATGATATGTACGTGTCTGTTAAGCGTTTTGCGACTAGCCAGGGGTGTACATAATTATAGTTTAGCTGCCGTTTTTATAGATGCCTTGTTGTCAGAAGCTGTGACCTCATGATTCATTGTCTTCTTCCGTGTGGGCGTTGTTACCACGTTAAGGTGCGGGGGCTCTCGTGGCCTAGAGGTTAAGGTGTTGGCCTCTCATTCAAAAGGTCCGGGGTTCGAATCCGGGTTACGACCGAAAAATTTTCTTCTCTAAATTTGTCTCCTTTCACCTCATTTCCTGCCCTCATGTTGTTTCCTCTTTCTGTCCGCACCCCCTCACCTCCTTTGCCCCTTCCTCTGGGCTCCTGATTCTTTCTGCATCCTTTCTACTGCTACTCCTTGGCTTCTTCTTACTGCTGTCTTTCAGCACACCCCTGATCTTCTGGTAGGAAAGATCTACACCTAGCCTTCTCGGACAAGGGCGAAAAATCTCGGAGGGCCCGTGTGCAAGTTGCGCACGTTAAAGATCCCTTGGTGGTCTAAAATCGATAAGAGTAGGCTTCGGCCGCCACCCGGGCAAAATTCAAAATTTCCGACCAACTGAAAATATTAGGTGTGTCCCGCGCGCTCATATGACCTTATGCAGTTTCGAGCGCCGTAAAACACTTTACAAAATCAAACAAACAAAACACGTTAAGGTGACCCTTATTTCGGTAACTCCATTTTTAACCTTTTGCTTACTCCTTGTTTTGACCCTTTCTCTAGTGTATTTATGTATGAGTGTAAAGTGCGTCTAAACTCTGTTAGGTCAACCAAGAGGCCGGACAGCCGAGATGACTCACTGCTCATAAGAGTATGTGTAAGTGTGTTTGTGCGGGTATGTGTGTGTGTGTGTGTGTGTGTGTGTGTGTGTGTGTGTGTGTGTGTGTGTGTGTGAACGTTGCCCAAGGAAGGGGGGGGCACTGTTTGTGTTAAAACCATGTGGTTATGTGCACTTGCTCACGCGCTGATGTGTGTGGAAAAGCCAGGGCACTCGGAGTCCCCGTGGCGAATGATGTCAAGCTGTATCGCCCTCACTGTCACATGCCGTACTCATGGCGGGGTCGTGTTCCGTTTCAGAACAATGAGTGGCCGCTTTCTGTGTGTGTGTGTCTGTGTGTGTGTGTGTGTGTGTGTGTGTGTGTGTGTGTGTGTGTGTGTGAGTGTGTGTGTGTGTGTGTGTGTGTGTTAAGATCATAATTTAGGGAGCGGGCTTCGACCTTGCCTGCCTGTCAGGGCCAACCCAGGCTGAAAGGCCCAGCAGAAAGACCGAGATACTGCACAAACCCCCCACCCTTACATGAACAGAACGTGGGTCTTCTGTGTGTGACGGCGAAACACCTCACCGCTACTCCACAGGCATCGTTTATGTGGGCGTAAAACATTTAGATGAAAATAAGCCACAGTGTAAAGTATTACGTGTCTGTACACTAAGCTTTTGCGGGTGGTTGGCGGGTGCTCTGGTGTGGCTTGCTCCTTCTTGCTGGTGTGGCTTGCTCCTATCAAACATCTATCATCCTGATCTTTCCTTCTTGGGTGTGTGTTTTTTCTTTACTCTTTTGTCTGTCCCCGTAGAATGATGCAAATTTAGAAGGCCAAATTATGCACCAAAAAAAGCAAAATTATGCAAGTTACCGTAACACCATTCGCGACATGTTTTGCACTTTTTCAATGCGAAGTTTCATGATTTTCGTGTTTTATGTACAGAAAAATTGAAATTGGAACATATCAGTATCAGTAATTTGTTGTGTATTTGGAAAAGAAAACAATACACATCAGTTTTAAAAAAAAAAAAAAAAATTTTAAAATAACCAAAAATATAATCTCTGCAACTTTCAGCTGTAGATCTAGATCTTTAAAGGAAAGAAAAATGCTTTAAAAAAAGAAGGATATCTGGACCTCTGATGCAGGCACATTACTAAAACCAGTTACTCCGGTCAAACATGAAACATCAGCAGACATGAGAACAACAACTTTTGATGGATTGAAAAATTGAACATGCTCAAGGAACAAAACCCCAACCCATAACCAAGATCTTCTAACAAGGGAAATAACCAACTTTTCACTTAAATGAGACTTATTACGGTGATTACGTCCCTTTAGTCACATGGCGAGGCGTGAATTGTTTTGTGAAAAAAAAAAAAAACGGGGAAAAACGCGGAGAATCTAAAATTATGCAAATATGCAGAATTACACGAAAAAAAACGCGGCTGCACAATCGCATAATACTACAGGGACAGTTTTGTTTACTTTACTTTTACTTTTATCCGCCGCTTATTCCCTTTTGGGCGTCGCGGGAAGAAAGAGACGTCTCTCTGCCACTAGCCGGAGAGCTTGGATCAGGGGATGCCTGAGTTGTTAGTGTGTCCCTGACTCCATCTTTCCAGGTCTTTTTCGGCCGCCCTCTAGCATTGTTGTCATTGATTTTTTTTTTATAGGCACGTTGTGCTGGATGGTGTGTTGGTAATGGTATGAGATGTCCGAACCTTTTGATTCTTTGTTGTTGGATGTGATGCATGACATCATTGTGCCCTTCATTTCTCTGACTATACTGAATTTCTGGTTTTGTCTCGCCTGGTCTTGTTTACTGCTTTTCTAAGACCTTGCATTTCACATGTTGGAATTCTTTGCTCCAATGTCTTGTTCGTGGTCCATGTTTGGCATTGATAGGTCCTCTTTTGGAACAACTCTAATCCTCGACTATTATATGGCCTAATTGTGCTGCAAACAAGCACTCTCCACATTTCCCTATCCTGGGCTAGTCGCTTGATGTCATTACACGTCTTTCCACTTTTGTGTTCATCCATTTCCGTGACTCTTCTCCAGGTTTCACGTAATGTTCCTCTTGATCTTTTACCCTGTGGGTTCCAATCTAACACTTTCCTTTTATGCAGCTGCTTGACTTCCTCAAAGTGTGTCCAATCCTTTGCCAGCACCTTTTTCCCACCTCATCTCTGGCTGGGCTCTGTCTCATTCTTAATACTTCCTCTTTGGTGATTCTGTCTGTTACATCTGATCCTCAGTAACTTCCTTAGACACTTGTTCAAGAAAACCTGGATCCTCTTTATGTACGTTAAACTCTTACTAAAACAAATTTAAACGAATTTTTCTTCTTAATTTAAAAAAATCTTATTTGTTTCCTCTGGTCTCGTTCTAGCTGTCATGCGGTGGGGAACTCCCGGGCCCTCGGCACTCCCACTGCCTCAGCTTCTGGTGTGGTCAAGTCGTTCTGACCGGAGGCCTGGACGCCAGCCACACACCGGTCGGGGCGGTGCATGTTCTGGACCTGACCACTATGACCTGGCGGACGATGGATCTTCAGGGCAGCCTGTATCCAAGGTTTGTTTGTTGTTTCTTTTTTTAAGCGTTTCACCGCGCTTGCTACACAATTAGGTCATATAAGTGGCGGAAGATTAGAGGTGTCACGAGAGAGTAACAAACACAAAAAAGGAGGAGAGATGAGGATGATAGTATTGATAGGTGTTTGATAGGAAAGAAGGAGCAATCCACACCAGCACACCCGTTAACCACCCACCCCAAGGTTTGCCAGATTGTCACTATGGACAATTTTGAGTTTGAGTAATTGGAAGCACATCGAGGCAGATAGACAGAAACAATAGAGGAAAATATAAGAAATAGGACTGACCGGTGATGCTCTTTTGAGATTGAGTAAATAGAAGCACGTCATCACAATATCGGTCATACAGTGCAAAGAAAAAGCAAGACAGGTGACAGAAACAACATTTTGTACGGTCTTCCATTGCTTTTGCAAGTGCATTCTCTTTGGTACTGACAGTATTAGCCATTTTGATAGATATATTATAAACATAGATATAGTGGTGGCGTCGTTGTGGTGCTCATATGAACTTATGCAGTTGCGAGCGTTGTAAAACTTCTACTTAAACTAAGTAGTGGCGTCCAAAAGAAACTTGAAAATGTAATCTCCCTATCATCATGTTAAAACGTTGTACTTCCCACTCATGTAACATACCAATTTAAAGCTAAATAAAGTCTACATCATCTGACACATTAATATCACTGACTGTTGTGTCTTTAGGCCATTTCCAAAGGGGGAACATTTCTCGTTCAAGCACAGTAGAATTGTAAATGGGCTGATTCATCATGTCATGCTCATAACTGTGCCTGATCTACAACAGGGAGCTGCTGCTTTTTCTTTCCTAATCCTTACTACAGTAGTCTCCGCCTAAGATCCCAGTGCTCGGGAGAAAGGAAATGCGGGATCTTAGGCGAACCGGGATCATAATCGACGAACCCAGGGAAGAATCTATGGTGACCCATGCTAAGGCTCGCAATCGATAAAATGGTCTCCCTCTACTCTAAAATGAACTGACGTGTCCGCTTGGTGGATTTATGACGTATGGCGAGCAAAGAGTGGTTAACCTTGATGGCCTATCACAGTGCATAGTGGGATGAGGCGCGCCGTTTTCACATATTATCCTATCATGAGTCTCAAGATCTACGCTTATCCAGTTGCCCTTCCCCCTTACCTGTCGAAAATTTATAGCTTTCCATCTCTAACCAAGCCCCCCTCCCCCCCAAACCGCCTTTGTTGTTACACACCATTATGTTGTGAACACACCAATTAAAATTCAGTCTGTCTCGCAAATTCGGGAGTAGAGACAACTTCTGCAATGGTCAGGGAAGAGTGTTCAATGTGATCCCGCCTGGAGCGAACGTGTAGACCCTACCCACCCAGCGAGTGATGTAAGTTTAGGGGGAGAGCTCAGGTGTGAGTGCGATGTTCGAGGAAAACAAACGTGTCAGTCAGTTCACACCCCGGTGTGATCCCGTCTGTGGCAAACATTTATCGCTTCATCGAGTTTTACAACGTGTATGTGATCACATTCACACTAGTGGCTGATCTTCGACGCGACGGACAGTTTATTGATCTCAACTTTTCACTCTTGGTTGATCGGCTGTCCCGCCCGGGTTTTTGTTCCGCAAATTATGAACTGAAATGTGGGATTTTAGCAGAAGGTAGACCTTCAGAGTGAATCAGAGCGGGATCTTAGGGGTGACTTTTGTATAGTAAAAATTCTGTTTTCTTAAAACAGCAGGATCTTAAGCGAACCGGGATCGTAAGCGGTGGGATCTTAGGCGGAGACTACTGTATTGTCATTTTTCCTCTACTTCTTTTGTATGTTTGTCACTCTCTTGTGACCTGATATTTCCGAGGTGCCTTGATAGTCAAAGCAGACTTTGTGCTGTTGAAGCTAGAGAGGTGAGCAGAATAAGTCTGATATCCTTTAAAGACTTCTCTGTTGACACCCACCCCTTGGCGCTCATATGACCTTATGCAGTTGCGAGCGCAGTAAAACCCTCTACTATAAAAAAAACCAACCAAAAAAACATTAATATTTCAAGTATGTTAAGTCACTTGAGCCTGAGCTATATTTCGCCCAACAACCATTGCAGCCTCTCACCTTTCGGGTATATTGAATCGATTGCCGCAAAAAGACTGTAGAAGTTATTATAATGGGAAAAAATGCAACAAAAGAAAAAAAGGAATGTTCTCACAGAAAAAGAAAACTGAATATAAATTGTCCGCATAGTTTTTATTTTATGGATATTTTGAAATGGCAATGTCTTGGGATTCCGCCAATGTTTTTTGCGTCCAATTTATAATAAAATCATCTAACACAATGCGAGGGTTACTGGCTTACTCCATTACGGGTAAAAAAAATGTATCACACATAACTTCACCAAATTTTTTTATGAAACGAAACCAGTGTGTCAACTGTTGGCTCTCGGCTTCTCTTTGCTTTTAACCAAAAGACACTGGATATATCCATCAATAAAATACATCCTGTAAATACTCAGGATTGGGCCACTGGACAGGCACGCGTCCCGTAAATACACGAGAATAGACTTGAGTGAGTTAAGAGACACCTGAGATATGGTCACTCAAAACTGACCTTAAAAAATCAGGCTTGGCAAAATTGTGCAATGTCAAAGAAATGTAAAATTGTTTTTGCTCGTGCTTTGAGGAGCATCAATATTGACAGAATGGACATAAATTGCATATTCAGTTAATGGAGGATTTTGTCTCTGCAATGAACAATATTTTATTTCATTAATTTCAAATAAGACAGAAAACAGAGCAATCACAAATACCAGGCAAAGCTGGAACTTAACATTAGATGTGCTCATTGTTTTTTGCTTAGGAGCCACTGGTTTTGTATAGGGCGCAAACCCTTTTGAGCATCGGCTCTATTAAATTTTGAACATAATTATCTGTCATTTCATCCCAAATGTCACAGACAGTTGCAAACAAAGGGTCTGAATTGGGAGCAAAGTCGATTTTCTTCAGCAATTGTTTCATGGGCCTTCCCATACCTGTAGGATTCATATCAGGACTATTGACTGGAGTCTGGTGACCACTCTAGAGCTGATAATATGATTTAGTTTCCCAAGAATTGTCTAGTGGCATTGGCCATGTGAGAAAGTGCTTTGCCATGTGTGAAGATGTCTGCTCGAATGACACCATGACAAAACTTAGGATAAGACATGACGTTCCAGCACTTGTGCAATGTAGCCCACCATTGCCCCCCCATGCCAAGCCATCCAAAACCATGGCAGTTTCGTTCCCTCTGCTCTTCACTGACTGATGACTAGTCCCAATCTTACTAACACTGCCCATATTCAAAAAAAGGTTTCGTGCTCCTAATAAAAAAACAGTATCATACTAATGAGTATTCTTTGAATTGGTATGCTGCATGAGTGGGTAGTGCAAGGCTTTATCACAATGAATGGGTGATTACATTTTCAAGTTGTTTTTTACGCCTCTGTTATTATAATATAGGCTAATATAATCTTATATAATCTAATCCAATACAATATAATATAATATAACATAATATAATACAATATAGATAAATGTTATTTGTAAAAAAGATATAATATAAAGAAATATAATATGGTATGGTATGATATATGATATGATATAAACATAGCTCATCAAAATATTGTGTATTTCTCTCTGTCTCATTTTCATTGTAGATATTCCCACACTGCTCATGTGTCTGGGGATAACATGATCCTTGTGGGTGGAGTTAACCTACATCACCCGCCTCCCGGAGTCGGTGTGCTCTGTCTCAAGACAAGAGTTGCTCAAGAATTTTCTCTTCCAGTAAGTTTTATCTTGATACAGAGTTAATGCCTGAGCAAATGAATGGTCTGAGACCTGCAGAGATTTATGAACTGCCAATGTATCCTTGTGTGTGCCATGTGTAAGTTGTAATAGTTCAGGTGTTGCAGTCACTGTGAAGGAAATGAGGATCTTGTTCTTATTATTCTGTTGAATGTTGATTAGTACGTATGCATTCATTGATCTCATGGGACTATCTGATTGCTCTGAAAGTGGTCTTTGTGGACTTCAGAAGGTGAGGCTGAACAGGCACATGTGAGAACAGTAGTTGCTCCTGCTCTGAATTTGGACAAAAACTGATCTTGGAATGTGTGGCTTCTGCTAGGTGTTTCCTCTTTGCCTCTTTTCCTCAAACTGCCCGTGCTGCAATTTTCAAGTTTTGAGAGTAATGTATGCCTTCGTGCAAATATATTCAAGGCAGCTGCCTTAAAGTAGGTATCCAAATTGACACCCAAGGCTTCTGCAGTCTTTTCTTGCCAATATTTTGTACTCTAGATGCTGTCTGCCTTTGGGGTACTCTCCTTTTGCCAGTTTTATATGGAGATTTTCAGTAATCGATAGTATCATATTGTGCTGGGTCAGTTAAAAGGCTGAAATCCATGAGTACCCTGCGACAGTTACTCACCCAGCTGAGCACTTTATAAAACATTTGCACGGACAATTAATAAAGGAGTTCACTACTACCACTACTACATGCCTACCATAAAGATCAAGTCTCCATGTTGATTTGATCTCACGAATTAAATCTCAGTCACTGCTTGCAGCCATCTAAATAAGACAGTATTTAGCTGTGGTCAACTCGTTCTGGATGTCTGTGCACTCCGTAGAACTTTGAAAAATCTTTCAGCTTAATACTTGTGGATATCATTTGTCTTCCAGTGAGCTTTTACTCTTTTTTATTCATTGTGAAGCTTATAAAAATACTTTGTTTATTCCTCAGAAACAGAAGAAAGACAGCCTGCTTATGTTCCACCGCCACAGCTCACTTCAAACGAATCCTGATCAAGTGATAGTGTTCGGTGGTGGGGGCAACTGCTTTTCCTTCGGTACACACCTGAACAGAACTCCTGTTATGCTAGATATTTCACAGTGTCTTTCCCTCAAGGAATAGAGTCATGGACAAGCTAAAGCAATGGTTCAAGCTTCTAAAATTCCAGCTGTCAGAACCAGGGGTCATGTACTCGAAAAGTACATGAAATCAGATTAAGAAGTAGTGTGTCAGCAGTGGGTCTCATTAGCTTAAAGGTAAAGTTCTCTCTTGTTGTGTCAAAATGCCCGTTCCGAAACAGGGTTATAACGGGGGGTTTTCCCTGTTCCAGAGTCGTGATCTTTGGGCAAGTAAGATAGCACATCAATCAGACCTATGGCGCAATAGTTGTCATCATTCTGACATCATGGGCCAATCACACCTGCTCCAACTTAACTTAAATGATGTACACAAATCGCATTGGGCTAATTAATTACCTGTCAACTATATGCTTCCAAACTTAGCACTCAGTCATTTCCATTTTTACTGCAACAACCAACTGAGTGCTTTTACCCTTCTCCCGTTTTTCTACAAAGTTCACTTTGTTTGTTATATCAGGTATACACCTCACCCAGCAATGAATGATATGGAAGAAGGATGATATTTTGTCAGGAACGGAAGGTGCTTTCGGTGCAAGTGTGCTTACTGCAGGGTGCTGTTGTGTATCTGGGTTTGCGTATACGTGAGCTGTGTTCGAGGGTATTTAAGTGTACACTTGTTTCTTTCTGTTTGCTTGTGTGTTGTGTACATGTGTAGCTGTATGTGTAGTCCATGTGCATGTGTAACTGTATTTGTCTGTGTGTGTGTGTGTGTATGTGTGTGGGATTAGAGGGTTGGGAGCCACGTCTATGGTCTATCAACAACTTTGAAAAAACCAGTCGTTTTGGAAATAGTTTTCAAATAATAAAATTTCACCTTCGAGTATTTCAGGCAGTTGTTAAGCATTTTTTTTTCACTGTGCCACAGTCTTCTTGCGTTTATTTGTTGCTATTATCAGCACATTTCTTATTTCTGCCATTATTTTTTTAGCAAATGAGACGGACTAGGCAACTTGTTTGCCTTGTCCATAAAATGTCAGTTACTCTTGGGCGCACTTAAAGATGGATATTCTATATTTCTGTTTCTTCATACTAGCTTCTGGGTTCATCATCATCATGAACTGTGAAATGAAACAATCATGGTTTGCCACCTATTTCTGTGCTTGGATGCACTTTTAAGAAAAACCTTTATATTGTCTTAGTCTTTCTCCCTCTCCCATCTGTTCAAGTTCTCTAGCAAGTTGTTCTGGATCTACTCTAGTGCTTTTGCCTGCAATTTTTCCAATGAAAACAAAATGTTCATGGCATTTATGTGTATATCGGTGTCCCAGAAACTACATTTGTGTGCCTGCCGGTCAATATCAGTGATGTGAAAGAAATTTAAAAACTGAATTAACATTACTATAAAAAAACTATCACCTTTTCCGTACAATTTAAATAAGAATGAAGTAAATATGACGATATTTGACGAAAATACAAAACTATTATTTGTGCGAGGTGAGGAAACATGAAAAGGAGAAAATGGCCTTCGGAGTTGAGCAGCATGTTTCCTTAGCAATGAGGGTCTTAGAATTGAGATATATAGGGACTTGAAATTTAGCAGTCACCTTTGCTATACCACTACAAGGTAACATACAAAATTTGAAAACTCTTCATTAACAGAAAAAACTTATGGACAAAACAACATTTTCTCGAGAATGGACTTCACATCAAATGCAACAAAGTATTAGCTTCATACTAGGTATCAGATACTAAATTTTCAAAGTAGCTGTATGTCGAATTCATCTGTTTTAATGAAAGGCCTGTGTCTCCTGAGAAATTTGGTACCATACTGTTACCTCTCAATCAATGTTTAAGAGAATGGCAGCTGTTTCCATTTAACATAATAATCAAATATTGCTGAAGTCGCTAACTGGCTGCAACCCCATGTTTGACAGATAATAAAAGAGTACCAAGCTCACCAAACATCTTTACATTAACAGAGTACAATCATTATAACAAAGAAATGAAGCCTAATTTTTTTCAGACTGTGAGATCATTACAAATCGGTATTTTATTGCCTCAAACACGATTATCTGTCGTTATTTCAATTAAAACACTGAGCGTTGTCTCGGCCAGTGCCGCACCAGCCATCGCAATGAGCGAGTCGACACTATAGTGTAGTGTACTGAGTGCTCCCGGTAGTTTTGCGGAAAGATTCATGCTAAATAATTCCAAGTCGATGATTTTATTCTAATAGAAAAAGAACTGTTCTTTCTATTGGTACCTTTTTTTTAAAGCCGGTATTTTCACTTTTCGTGTTAAAAATGATCTTTGAAAACATAGATGCTTTTTTTCAAGGTTTCTATCCAAACACCAAAGGCCAAATATAATAACCACGGGAAGCCACGCTTAAAAATGTATAGTTCGCCGCCTATGAAAAGACAGTATTTAATCATCAATCTTTGTTCAAAGCATTCGAATTCATGGGTGTCAATTTTGAACCGGCCCACCTCGCATTCCGACCGCGACAGGCTTCCCTTTCCACTGCGATTCTCCAGCTCATACTCGGATTATAATATACAAACAACTTACACTATTGCAAAGAAGGAAATCTGAACTTTTTCAAAATGTTCAGCATTTGGTGTTTATAGCAAAAGAGCAAAGAAACAGAGATCTGAATTACCCCCATTTTACCGAAACCACGCGCTCGGAAGGCAGCGAGTCGGCTTACGTGCCGTGTTTGCGCTATCTAATTATACGTTTGCAATTGCACCATAAACACTCGAGAGCACACACACACACAAACACACACACACACTCACAAACACACACACACACAAACACGCACGAATATACACATACATACTAACACACCAACAGATATACACACACATGCACATAGACCGCCTTGCTGGCCTCTTGGTAAGGAGTCCGCTTTGAGAGATCTAGAGGAAGGTTAATTAAGCACTAAAACACAATAAAAACAAATTTTTAAGGTCAACCAAAGTGTAAAACTGAAAGGTCAACAGACGATAACAGCTAGCAGGGCACACCCACACAGTCAGCTGTTTACGTAAATAAGCTTGAATTGAGCTAGAAGTTACAGTTTTTACTCCATTTTACCAATCAGAGTTGTCTGCATTTCAGACCATTCATGCTTGAAAAGGGGTTAAAATCTTTTAAAAGTTGCGAATGAAGAACACTGAAGCAAAGATACTCCAGTGTGGAGTATCTTAGGTTGAAGCAAAGGTGGCCATGAGGTAATGGTTCTAAAAATAATTTCACAGCTACACTCTAGCAAGGTCCAAATTCCTTTATCTCATCACCCAGGCTCATAACAAATCACACATTCCTCCATAATAAATCAAAATAAAATATTTATAGTTCATTATACATGTAGTTGTTTATTTTTATTTTATATGAAGTAGAAGACGTCAAACTTTCAATATATCCAAAAAACAAAAATTTCTTGGAAAGTCACTTTTTTGCCTTTTGAGCCTTGTAGCTGATAATGGCACACTGCGTCTTACGACTGATATTGACCGGGGCAGACAGATTTGTCTCTTTATTATTGTTTTTATTATTAAGCGGCTCTCTCAGGTTTCTCTCAGCACTACCTCACATAATTTCTTTTCCTTCTATGAAATTCTCAACAAAAATTAAAGCATCCGTTTGCCACCCACAAGGACTTTAGTGCAGCTGAAAGTTTGAGAAGGTCATTTTCCATGGCACCACTCTTAGTCACTGGGGACCCAAAATTGTGCTTGATGAACCACAAAAATTGACCCTACGCCATGAAGGGATCAATCCTTTCTCCAGTTTGAACTGGCGGTTCATTACAGATAATAAAGTGGACTTTAAAAAATGACATTTAGCTACCTGAAATGTGAGGGATACCGGAGTGTTGGAGGAAGAGAGGGTAAAATCTGTAAAAATCCTGTTGCTCTGTGCTCAGGCAACTTCTGTGAAATCTTGTGGGATAATTCAAAACAAGAGTACTGACTAAATGCTGTTTGCATATTGAATCTGTTAAAAAATTGTTACATGACCATAACTTTTTCAACTTGCAACTGTTTTACCTTTTTCTTCTTAGTAGTCTTAGCCATTACAGCCTATTTTTATGTACAGCCCTCTGTCTTTCCATCTTGAGGTGTTACTTGGTAATTGAAAGTACTGATTGCTATTGAATGTATTTCAGTCCATATTTTACCTTCTGCTAAAGATCTGGTATAGTTGGAAATGAATAATAAACGCTCTGACCTCTGGTAGATTTGCTTTTTCATTTTGTTTTTTAGAAAGCTTTGTTTGAGATGACTATTGAAAAATGATCATCTGTGTGATAAGATAAAGAGTAAATTTTAGCTACTGCAGAATTTCAAACTTTCAATATGTTTTTTGATGAACTTCCATGGGAACCGAAGTTGCTTGTTTCAAAGTTAAAATCGTCTTGAAAGCTGAAGAATGCTCTTGATTCCTGAATTTAGTGACTGTGCATTTTAAAGAAACCTTGAAAGAAAATGATCGAATTTCCCATAGGTTGTTTTTTTCGGGCTTTTCATAAAGATGGTGACTTCATACTTTATTGTCATGATTCAAAGTTCTTCTGTACTGTGTTCCTTTTACTCAAAGAATGTTGCTATGAAAGCCAACACAGTTCGACAAATGGTTCATGATTTGCTTGCCCATACTTAATGTGTTGATTCTCACAACTTTTCTAATTTGTTGTTCTCACTGCTCCTATGAGAAATAGTATTCCTTTTTCTTCTGTTGAAAACACATGTGTGTCTGTGGAAATTCCTTTAAGACACTCTCAGCTTTCTGAGATGGAAAGTAGACAAACAATAACAAAAGTGTATCCCATTCTCCGTTGCCTGAAAGAACACATTTGAAAACAGGAGTATGAATACGGTCATCTTTACCTTAAATGTGCAATTTGAATTGTAGTGTGATACATTTTATATGAATATCAAATAAATGTTTCCTTGATCAGTTTTGTGAAGAATGTTGCCAGCATGTATAGGCCGTGAAGTGTTTCCCATATTTGTAATCTATGCTTCTTTAAGCGTGTAAGTTGCAATGATATATTGAAATATCAAGAGACTATACTTGAGTATTGTTTCAGCCAGCTTAAAGACTACTTTCATTTCTGTTATTTAGATGTATTCATGTGGTTAATTTCTTTCAGTTGAACGTACTCAGTTCCCCAGAAAATGCATTTACATATCTTACAGTTAAAGAAATAAATCATGTAAAAATTACAAGGATAATTTCTGAAATTTTATTACGTTAAAAAAGGGGGTAATGAAATGGGAAAGTCACCTAGCTGGAAGAAAACAAGGATTGGGGGAGGAAGAGAGTTCAAAGAAGGAGGTTGCAAGTAAATCTCTCATGTCTTATGAGAGTACTAGCTGGGCCCCCTTTCGATGAAAGGAATGATCATTGGCCTATTATATTTACACTCTACTGGAATGGGGAAATAAATCTTGAGAAATGCAAAAAATGAGAAGGTCTATCTATTATCTATACTCTCAAAACAAAATGCGCCTCGCGAAATATCACCTCCGGATTTTCAAAAATTACAGAGACAGAAGCGTCTGCCTACAAAAAGCGATTGGCGAAATAAAGAAATTTAGCTTTTTGCAGCAAAACTGTCTCAAAACTATTAAAAAAACAAGGGCGTCATGATCTGGAGAATATTTTTAAGAAATTTTTGGCGAAAACCGCAAGTCGATCGATGCAGCCATTAAAAAGCCTTTTGAATAGCAAAATTCGGCCACCATAAATAGATAATAGATATCACAGGTCAGAATTATGTCCCTTTAATTTTAAGAGGCAGGGCTGAGCTGTTTATGTGTTTTTAGTAAGACCAAAGCTTGTTGTTTTGTTGTGGGGGGGGGGGGGGTTAAGTTGTTTTTATTGTAAGTGTTATTTTATAACTTGCGCTGTGTTATTATTGTTGCTGTTTCTATTTATATTTTATCAATATTATTCTTTTGTTTGCAGTCTATCGGATTTGATGATGTCCTGCAGTCTGTCCTTTCAGCGATTAGTAAAGCAGTTCTTTTTTTTTTTCAATCTCTCGTTGATCCAGACCCATGTGAAATTTGCCAGGGATATTTTTTAAGTTTATGTATCATTACATTGATACTAGAAGTACAGTTTTAACATTGTGAATGTTTTGTTAATACATGTGCATGTATTTTTCTGTCCATACTTTCAAAGTAGCTCGCCACTTATCCTCAACAGTGTTGCTCTCGCGAGAATGCTTCCAATGTGGTTACATGTTTTGGTGTAGCTTCTAGCCAAATGCAAAATGAACTTAATTTATTGTGACATCACTTATGTTCAAGTCTAATCAAATAAAAGTGCGGAAGTTTTATGTCACTGGGTTTTTTTCTTGTCGATGTATTCTTACTGCAAAA